AGGTGACTGGGTATCCCAAGAGACTGGTAATAAGATAAGGACTAAACCACTTTGCACATTCTGTACATTTTGCATGCCTTCAGAGCCCTTTAGAATGATGGAAAATTATTTTCCACATTTTATAGATAGGTAAACTGAAGCACAAATAAATGAAGTGACTTCCATAAGGTCACCCAGCTTGTCAAGAATAAAACTCGAAGTCTTCACAGCAAACTCCCTTCTCCAACCACTAAGCAATCAGGCTTCCTTCAGTGTTGCTGCCCCCATTTTGTATAACTGGTATAGTAACAAAGTAAAGCACAATTTTAGAATACCTACTGTTTTGCCTAGATCTCCCTTTTTGCTCCAGCATTTCACACACCCAGCCTCTACTCTTTCAAATCCTTTTGAAGCACTAACTTGTCTTGATAAAAGTTGTTATCATCCATTCACATTACTCAAAAGGAGATGAAAGGGAGGATAGAGAAGGAGAAAATAATGATACCACTGCGAGTCAGAACCTCTGAATTTTCCAGTGCATTTTAGGTCGTCTGTCTCGTAAACTCCTTAGGACAAGGACTGTATCTTATTCCATGTCTGACACAGCAGTGAGACACTATTGGCCCTTAATAAATTAATCATAATTTTCAACAGAGTAAAAGAAAAATCACATCTTGGGTATTCTGACAGTCGGGTAACATTCACTATAGGTTTCAAATATCATATTTACTGCAATTCTTCATTATAAGTGACTGAAAATTTACTACGCGCAGTAGTTTAATTTACATTTGCTCCAGAAGTAGTTATAAATCAATACATTGGACATAAACATCCCTTTCTTAGACAATTATATAACAATTTTATAGTTTTACACTTGTTAAATGAGTATTATTGGAGTATATGCATCAGAGGGTATCCATGATGAGACAATACATGCAAAATAAGGCCATCTCTGAGGGCTTCTCTTCCTTGCAGAATTAACTCAGGCTCTTACTGGAGTGTTGCCCCTAACCCTTCTCCTTCCCCTACACAAACCCTTCTGACCTGAGTGCGGCAGTGCTTTGCACCCAAGCTAGCTGGCCCATCCAGGGGGGTAGGCTAAAGCCTAGGTGCTGCTTATATCTACCCACTTCACAGTACGAATGCAGGCTAAACCACTCAAGTGCGCATAGTTCTCCAGGGCCTTCCCACAATTCCCCTGGTGTCTCCAGAAGGACAGATGAGTTCTCCTGCAATTCAGTGGGAAAGAATCAGAGTGGCTCAGCTTACTGCAGTTCTAAAAGCCATGGGTTATGACTCCAGAAGCCCTAGCCCCTCACATGAGCATGTGTACAGGGCCAGTGAGGATGCAGTTGATTGGCCACTCTTGACTCTGGCTTTGCAGTGTGGCCAGTCACATGCAAGTGCCGATCATCCACAGAAACGCTGTAGTGCAGACGCACCCGGATACAAAAAAGAGTAAAGTTAGCTCTAACCTTAGCCCTGATGAAAGCTAAGATGGCTCCAATGTAATAAATAAATCATCAGAATTAAGGAGTGTGGTAGTTTTAAAAAAAGCTTTCATAACTTTAATTAGATTTAAAGTATTTCTCTAAAATATTGGACAGCTGACCTGCTACCTGATCAGCTACGCGTGAGCTGGAAGGTGTAAGAGATGGCTAGATACAGCGCCAGAGAATCTAGTCTAGTAAGTTTTGAAAATCTTTCCTGTATTTTCAAAACAATTTTTAACAAAGATATACAGAAAGCAGAGATTTGTACATTTTCATAGAGGGGACTTTTTCTCAGAATCAGATGAGGCTCTCAAAACTGTAAAAAGTTAATGTTACATGCAAACCAAGAACAATATTATGCAGCCAAGGGAGGGCAATTCCATCTTAGCTGATTTTCCATAGTGAGATTCAACACAAAGAACACATTTCAGCCTCAGCTTGTTATCCTAGACCCTTGTCAGAGTGTGAGGGAAATTAAAAGAAAACTTTACAGACTCACAATATCTATTTGGTGTCAAGGGACAACAGACTAGCAAGAGTGCTATCTATACATTCTCTCTGTAAAAGCCAATGTTGTTGTCAAATACAACAATGATAAACCTCAAGACATTCTGCATTTTTCTCACTTGCAGGATACTAAAGAGCTACACTCTTAGTATGAATATTTCTATTATATTTCTAACATATTTAAAGAAGTGGCTGATAACTGCATTTTAAGTCTTTGCCACAACCTCTCCAAGCTGGCTCCAAAGAAGATTTTAAATAGATTCATAGATTCATAGATTCTAGGACTGGAAGGGACCTCGAGAGGTCATCGAGTCCAGTCCCCTGCCCGCATGGCAGGACCAAATACTGTCTAGACCACACCCGATAGAAATTCATCTAAACTCCTC